AAGACCGGCGCATTGAAGATCTGGAGCAGCGGGTGGATGAGCTGGAGCAGTACAGCCGCATGAATGATCTGATCGTCACTGGGATTAAAATCAAGCCACGTTCGTTTGCTCGAGCGGTGGCCCCCGACGCGGTCAGCGGTCTGCCCAGCGAGGAGGAGGTGAGGTCTGTGGAGCAACAGGTCGCATCCTTTCTCCAAGCGAAGGGGATAGTGATGGACCTGGAGCAAGTCGAGGCCTGTCATCCGCTGCCCTCACGGAACACCGAGAGACCTGCTGCTGTCATCCTGAGGTTTGTCAACCGCAAGCACAAAGTGGCGCTGCTTAAACAAGGTCGTAAACTAAAAGGGACAAACGTCTTCATTAATGAGCACTTGACTAAACGGAATGCGGACATTGCGAGAAGAGCTAGACAACTGAAAAAAATGCAGAAGATTCAGCACACATGGGTATCGAACTGTAAGATCTACATCAAGCTGAACGGGAGCCCAGAGGACGCCAGGGTGTTGGTGGTGAGAAAGTCTGAGGAGCTGGACAAGTTCATGTAAATTGGCCTTAATAAGGTAACACGTGACTGAAATGCATACTGATCACCATGATTAGACCAACACCAAACATACCTACACAACAAAAAAGCAATGATGTGACTATGCTGCAGACAATTCTTGAGCAAAAACGAATGGAACTTGAAACCTTCGATATAACTGAGAGCACATTTGATCTTTCTGATATAGACCCCGATATAAATTGTCTTTCTTCTGTTGTTGATAATTGTAATTATTTTAGTCAAGATCATTTCAACAAAAGTATAAGCTGCTCAGGGAAACTTTCAATAATACATTTCAATAGCAGGAGCTTGTATTCAAATTTTAGCTCAATTAAAGAGTATTTACTTCAATTCAATTGCACATTCAGTATTATTGCTGTTTCAGAAACATGGTTTAGTAATGAACGCGACATACAGTTCAGTCTGGATGGATATGAGCTTAATTATATGAACAGAGAAAATAAAACTGGAGGTGGGGTTGCTCTTTTCATACACAAATCATTAACTTATAAATGTCTCACCAATATGTCTTTCGTTATAGATGATATTATGGAATGTGTATCAATTGAAATTTGTAACGAAAAGCAGAAAAATTGTGTTGTAAGTTGTGTGTATCGGTCACCTGCTTCAAGTATTGAATCTTTTACTGGAATTATGGAAGAAAAGTTTTCATCCGTAAATCATAAACGATTATTTATCTGCGGTGACATCAACATTGACCTTCTGAATCCATCTAAGCTGAAAACAATTGATGACTTTACAGACACAATGTACAGTTTGTCACTCTTTCCCACTATAACTAAACCGAGTAGAATAACATCACATAGTGCAACTCTAATTGATAATATTTTCACTAATTATATTGAGACCCCTGTGATTAGTGGTCTATTATTGTGTGATGTTACTGATCACTTGCCCGTTTTTACTCTGTGCGACTGTAAGCCTAATAAAATTAAAGATGATAGGCTGGTGACATACAAGAGGATTAGATCAGATGTAGCCATTGACGCTTTTAACAACAGTCTGAAAGTCCAGGACTGGAGCTCAGTCATGTTGGAATCAAATGTTGATCAAGCCTATGACAATTTCTTGAACACATTTGTCTCACTTTATGATAAGCACTGTCCTCTGAAGTCATACAGTATAAGGAAGAAAGCAATGAAAAGTCCATGGCTTACAAAAGGAATACTGAATGCATGCAAAAAGAAGCAAAATCTCTATAAATTGTTTGTTAAATTAAAAACTAAAGATGCTGAGCTAAGATATAAGACTTACAAAAATAAATTGACTGACATTATTAGAAATTCGCGAAAATTATATTTTATTAATACTTTATATGATAATAAAAATAATATGAAAAAAACGTGGGAGATACTGAATGGTATTATCAAACAGAGTTCAACAAAAGTAGAGTACCCCAATTATTTTGAAAATATTAACGGTGATAAATACAACACGAAGAATATTGTAAATAACTTCAACCATTTTTTTGTGAATATTGGCCCAGAGCTGTCTGCAGAGATTCCTATCCAATCTAAATGCCAATGTAATATGGTAATTAATTCAAGCTCAATGTTTCTCTTAGCAACCACTGAAAAAGAAGTCAAAGAAGTAATCCTGAGTTGCAAGAGTAAATATTCCACTGACTGTCATGGTATTGATATGTCACTAGTAAAGAGAATTGTTGATAATATTATAGTGCCACTCACCCATGTTTGCAACTTGTCCTTCCAGTCTGGCAGTGTGCCAAGTAAAATGAAAATGGCAAAAGAATGGAAATAAACATTTATTTACCAACTACAGACCCATTAGTTTGCTCCCACAGTTCTCCAAGATTTTGGAAAAATTATTCAGTTCACGACTTGAAAACTTTATCAACAAACATCAGTTAATAAATGATAGCCAATATGGCTTTAGGTCCAAAAGAACCACTTCAATGGCCATAATGGAGGCAGTAGAGGAGATTACTAATGCACTGGACAAAAATATGCACACGGTTGGAATTTTTATCGATTTTAAAAAGGCTTTCGACACAATCAATCATTCAATTCTCTCAAGTAAACTTGAAAAATATGGAATCAGAGGTGTAGCAGGGAAGTGGATAAAAAGTTACCTGACTGGAAGAGCTCAGTATGTTAAGATGGGTGAATATACTTCAGACCAACTGAGTATTACTTGTGGTGTCCCCCAGGGCTCAGTTTTGGGTCCAATGCTGTTCAATCTTTATATAAATGATATATTTAATGTATCAAAAATATTGAAACTAATTCTCTTTGCTGATGACACTAATATTTTCTATTGCAACTCAAATTATAACACACTTGTAAATATTGTAAATATGGAAATGGTAAAATTAAAGAAATGGATGGATACAAATAAATTACTATTAAATCTAAATAAAACTAAAGTAATGACATTTGGGAATTTTAATAGTAATCCTGAATTGCATATTATCATTGACGGTGTACAAATTGAAAATGTAGATGAGAATAAATTTTTAGGTGTAACTATGGACAGCAAATTATCTTGGAAAGCCCACATCAGGCACATAAAAACAAAAATATCCAAGAGCCTTTCAATAATGAACAAAGCTAAGCAATATATTGACCACAATGCTCTGCGTATTTTATATTGTTCACTGATTCTCCCCTATTTATCATATTGTGTGGAAATATGGGGTAATAACTACAAATGTGCCATAAATCCATTGTTTTTACTGCAAAAAAGGGCTGTCCGTATCATTCATAAGGTCAGCTTTTTGGAACACACGCATGATCTTTTTATTCGGTCCAAACTACTGAAATTCCACGAACTTGTAAAATACTACACAGTAATCCTACTATTTAAAGCATTTAATAATATACTTCCTAAAAATGTACAAAAATTCTTCTCTCTTAAAGAGAATGCATATAATTTGAGAGGAAATGGAAACTTTATTCTACCAAAAGCTCAGACGACTCGTAAAAGTTTTTGTGTAACTGTATGTGGGGTAAAATTGTGGAATTCTCTGGATTTACAGCAGAAGCTATGCCTAAATATTCACAAATTTAAACTCTTATACAAAAGTGCAGTGTGGTTAGAATACAGAGTTAGTGGAATACTTATAGTTTGTTGTATTGCAGTTGTCCGTATCAGTTCTTGTGTTGTTTTTGATGTTTCTTACTTTCGTTGTTTCTGCTCCATCGCTGCTGCTCTTATGTTACTGTTGTTTGTGCTTCTGTCCTTACCATCGCTGGTATGTACATTTGTGTCACTATTGTTTGTGTCTCTGTCCTTACCATCGCTGGTATGTACATTTGCTGAAAATGTCTAAACTGTTGTATCATTTGCATCCTGTCTATTCTATAAGCTATGTTTGATCGTAAACGAAAATGATATTGCACTTAGTTTTGTGTTCTGGAGTGTAGTAGTATTTTACAAAAGTGTTTAAGTTATGAAAATTTGATTTTTTGTTGCATTGAGAATTTTTTATTTTTATTTTTTATTTTTTTCTCTTTTTTTTCCTTTCCTTTTATGGACTTTGAAGTGGAAGTTAAGTTAAATAATGTAACGTAGCTATGGACAATAGGGGTGGGATTCAATAAGTTTTCTTCTTCCCACTCCTTTTCGAGCCAAATCCTTTCTATTTCCTGTACTCAAGTACAGCTGTTCTACATTTGTTATTTTATTTTTTTATGTGATCTGCTCGAAATGAATAAATAACTAACTAACTAACTAATCTATTATAATATCTGGATCGGGTATTACAGCTTGAAGCTAAAGGTTGTGCTCGGGGGATTCTTGAGGTACCACAGACTAAACAAGACTAAATTCACGTGGGCTACACAGAAATGTTCCCCATAGAACTCAGTGTAAACTAAAACAGCTCGACCTCAGCCGACAGAGAACCTGACAGAGAACCTGACAGAGAACCTGACAGAGAACCTGACAGAGAACCTGACAGAGAACCTGACAGAGAACCTAACAGAGAACCTAACAGAGAACCTAACAGAGAACCTAACAGAGAACCTGACAGAGAACCTGACAGAGAACCTGACAGAGAACCTGACGGAGAACCTGACAGAGAACCTGACAGAGAACCTGACGGAGAACCTGACGGAGAACCTGACAGAGAACCTACAGCTCTCTATAAATTCACACTTTAGTGCCACAAACTGCTCGTTTTCTTCCCGCTCTAACTTTGCTCGGATCAGCAGCTCTGATTGGACAGCGCTTGTTAATGCGCAGAACCAGAGGACCAGACGATGCCCAAATATGGGTGAGTTCCGCTAATCTTTCGGTCCCCATGGTGGCACATGTGCCTCTGAGCACAAACCACTGATTTAAAAAGGACGCCATCTTGGATCACTGGGGCTCGATCTATGAACAGTTTGTGGCACAAACTAATCTTCTTTTAGTTTATTTTTCTTGTTACTTCCTGTTCCTCATAAATGTCTCTCTGTGTCTTGTGTCTCAGTGTCTCAGACTGTGGTCAGCGAGTCACAAACAAGACTCCGGTGTGTTCTGAGACCCCTCAGAGGATTCTGCAGAGACGGGAGGATAGAGTGGAGAGACCAGGACGGTGCTCTTCTGTCTGAAGGAAGAGACCGCTGTGAGTCTGAGGAGACTGTGGAGCAAAGTCACGACGTCAGGACCTTCACCTGCAGCTATGAGGAGAGAGGACAGGTGGTGTCTGCGGGGATCAGGGTCCAGAGGAGCAGGGGACCACCACAGGAGACCGAGACCTCTGAGACCGAGACCTCTGAGACCGAGACCTCAGAGACCGAGACCTCAGGTGAGACCGAGACCTCAGGTGAGACCGAGACCTCAGGTGAGACCGAGACCTCAGGTGAGACCGAGACCTCTGAGACCGAGACCTCTGAGACAGAGACCTCTGAGACCGAGACCTCTGAGACCAAGACCTCAGGTGAGACCGAGACCTCAGGTGAGACCGAGACCTCAGGTGAGACCGAGACCTCAGGTGAGACCGAGACCTCAGGTGAGACCGAGACCTCAGGTGAGACCGAGACCTCTGAGACCGAGACCTCAGGTGAGACCGAGACCTCAGGTGAGACCGAGACCTCAGGTGAGACCGAGACCTCAGGTGAGACCGAGACCTCAGAGACAGAGACCTCAGAGACAGACCTTATTTGTAGAACACATCACCCCTGTTATAAACCATTCCCCATCATTATTTTTCAGGATTTCCGCTGGTGCCGCTGCACATTGCCTTCGGAGCCGGGCTGCTGCTGCTGCTGATGCTTATTGTCTCTGCGCTGATGTTTTTAAACACAAAACCCCTATATTCTCAACAACAAACAGAAGTTTTTCATGGTGCGACACAATCTCGATCTATGTCGGTCCTTAATTCACACATGGTTCTCACACAGGATTCTCTTGTTTACCAGGTGGATTTGGAGAACAATGTGACGTACGCAACCATCAACCACCAGAAAGCAGCAGCTCAGAAACCAGTAAGTGTCAGTCAGAGCTGGTTCAAATCTGACTTTAGATTCTTATCTGTTCTTCTGCCTCTCGTCAGATCCCTGAGGAGGAGACTGTGACCTACTCTGCCCTCAACATTAAGAGAGACTAGAGAGAGAGACTAGAGAGAGAGACCAGAGAGAGAGACCAGAGAGAGAGAGACCAGAGAGAGAGAGACCAGAGAGAGAGACCAGAGAGAGAGACCAGAGAGAGAGACCAGAGAGAGAGAGACCAGAGAGAGAGAGACCAGAAAGTGCCTCGGCAGACCAGACTAGACTAGACAAGACCAGACTATCTTCAGAGACGAGGTGAACACATGTAACCATCTGTCTTCACCAGGAGAGAACGGTGAAATGGAAGACTTTGTTTCCTGTAGTTTGAAGAAGTTTTAGACTTTTTATCTATAAATGTAAAACAGAAAGTGGAGAAATGTGTTTGTGTGAAATAATAAAACATGTTAAATAATACCAACAATAGTAATGTTTGCTTGTTTAATAATAATAATGCATTGGTTTTATAAAGCGCTTTTTGGACACTCAAAGACGCTTCACACGTCATTATTCTTTCACTCCAAACACAGCGGTGATAAACTACTACTGTAGCCACAGCTGCCCTGGGGCACACTGACAGAAGCGAGGCAACCAGTCTGTGCCATCTTCGACCACCACCAACCATTCACACACACACCAGACTCATTCTAGGCAACGGGGGTGAAGTGTCTTGCCAATGACCCAACGACAGCAGACAGTGGGAGTCGATGGTGAAAGTCTTGAGGTGGGCTCGAACCCACGACCTTCTGGCTCAAAGGCCAACTGAGCCACTGTCGCCCCAATGACAGAGAGGGACCAGAGAGGGACCAGAGAGGGACCAGAGAGGGACCAGAGAGGGACATCAGAGAAACAATAGAGACCAGAGATAGACCATAGACGGACCAGAGAGAGACCAGAGATTTTGGGACAGGTTTTATTGATTTGTTTGCAAAACATAAAAAAAGGCTAAAACGACAACATTAAAGCAGGTTTTGCAAAAGAGTGGCTCGACTTCTGTGGGTGCCATAATATTCTCATCAATCACTTCCTGTTTATCATTCTATTCACAAAATGTGCCAATGCTACAAAAATGTATTTATATAGGGAGATAGACAAGGGAGAGATAGTAGAAAGAGAGAGACCAGGGAGAAAACAGAAAGAGAGAGACCAGAGAGAAACAAGAGGGAGACAGAGAGAGAGAGACCAGTGTGAGACCAGGGAGTTACAGTATTAGCCCTCATGGTATATCGTCTGGAGTAGATAGTGTGTTTATGGTATTGGCTGGGCACAGAGCAGGTGTGGCCTGGTGGTCAGGCCCATGCCAACCTCTGGTGTCAGGTCCAGTTCCTCCTCACAGACACCAGGGGGCGGCGAGAAGCGGAACCACTGCAGCAGAGTCACAAAGAACAAGAAGAGCTCCATCCTGGCCAGACTCTCCCCCAGACAGGCTCTACGACCTGAGAGAGACCAGAGAGACACCAGAGAGACACCAGAGAGAGACCAGAGAGAGACCAGAGAGAGACCAGAGAGAGACACCAGAGAGAGACCAGAGAGAGACACCAGAGAGAGAGACCAGAGAGACACCAGAGAGAGACCAGAGAGAGACCAGAGAGTGATGAGAGAGTGACCAGATAGACAGAGAGAGACAGAGAGACACCAGAGACAGAGACCAGAGAGAGACCAGAGAGATCAGAGAAAGACCAGAGAGAGACACCAGAAAGAAAGGCCAGAGAGAGAGACCAGCGATAGACCAGAGAGAGAGAGACCAAAGATAGACCAGAGAGACCAGAAAGAGAACCCAGAGAGAGACCAGAGAGAGAGAGACCAGAGAGAGACCAGAGAGAGAACAGAGAGTGACCAGAGAGAGACCAGAGAGAGACCAGAGAGAGAGACCAGAGAGTGACCAGAAACAGACCCGAGCAGAAAGAGACCAGAGCGAGTGAGAGAGACTGTCTTATTACATCTGTGGTGTTTATATTGTGCTATATAAATAAAAAGGATTGATAATCACCGGCCGAGAAAGGCATGAAGGCGTCTCTCTTCCGAAACTTGCCGTCGTCACTGAGGAAGTGTTGAGGACGGAAGCTGTGAGGCTCCTCCCACTCGCTCTCGTCAAAGTGGACCGAGGTCAGCAGAGGCACGATGGTCGTCCCCTGGGGAAACAACAGCAGTCACACTACAGAGGCGTGTTGTTTAGGCCTGCGTCGACTTTTCACTGCAAGGAAGACAGGAGCGTGCCCAATAAAACTTTTGACTTTCAAATAAATCTGAAGTGTCCTGGAACGGAGAGAGACCACAGAGAGATCAGAATTCAGAGAGAGACGAAGTGACCAGAATGAGACCAGAATGAGACCAGAATGAGACCAGAATGAGACCAGAATGAGAGAGATCAATGTAAATGTGCACTGTATTGTCCCCGTAGATAAATTTTTCGTCTGCATTTGACCCATGACACTAAGGCTTCCGTGAGGAGACTAGAAAGAGAGACCAGAGAGAGATCAAAGGGACTAGAGAGAGTTATCAGAGAGAGGAGAAGAGACAACAGATAGACTGGTGAGAGACCAGGGGAAGAGAGACCAGAAACAGACTAGAGTGGGAGCAGAAGGAGACCAGAGTGAGTGATCAGAGAAACCAGTGATGGACCAGAATTCAGAGAGGGAGGCCAGAGATAAACTACAGTGAGAACAGGGAGAGAGACCAGAGATACAGTAATATAGAGAGAGACTACAGATCCTGCAGAGTATTGTCCTTGGTGTGGCCTGTGTGTAGTTTCGTTGGTGTGGGCCTCACGTTCTTGATGGTGTGGCCCTGAAAAATGAGGTCGCAGCTGGTGCGGTGGGCGAGGGCCATGGGAGCGATGTTTGCAAATCTCTGGATCTCGTGGATCACTGCGTCTGTGAACGGCAGGTCCTTTCTGTCCTCGATCTGGACCTGACGACGACCAATCACTGTCGAGATCTCCTCACGCACCAGATCTGAGACAAGACCAGGGTTTAGAGACCAGAGAGAGACCTGAGAGAGAGCAGAGACCTGAGAAAGACCATAGCGAGACCAGAAACATCGACCAGAGAGAGACCTGAGAGAGATCACAGAGAGACCTGAGAGAGACCAGAGAGAGAGACAAGAGAGACTTGAGAGAGGCCCGAGAGAGATTACAGAGAGACCAGAGAGAGAGCAGAGAGCAAAACTAGGGGGAGACCACAGAGAGCTCATGCAGCAATCTCACCCTGGTAGTGTGGATACTTGGTCAGGATGAGGAGGCCCCAGGTCAGAGTGTTGGAGGTGGTGTCGGTGCCGGCAGAGAACAAGGACAGGACCGAGGCCGTCAGGTTCTCCTCGTGGAACTCATGGTCCTCGACTCCAGCCGCCTGCAGAACACACAAACCAGGGGTCGTAGACCAGGGTGGTCTCTCTCTGGTCTCTCTCTCTGGTCTCTCTCTCTGGTCTCTCTCTCTGGTCTCTCTCTCTAGTCTCTCTCTGTGGTCTCTCCGCAGAAAGAGACGCTGACGAATTAATGTGGCCGAACACTGTGTACTTCCTTTTTATGACCGGTTTGAAGCTGTTAATCAGATGTTATGGTTTTATATCTGTTTTGGCTCTGGTCTGAGATAGAGCACACCAGCGGTACATCCACATGGTTTTGAAACACTTTGCTTCTATCACAAGGTCTGGCTTTGGTATCAGAGTGGTCACTAGATTTCGCATTCATGTATTTGTCCTTTTGACTATGTCCCTCAGACACCAGCGAGAGACCAGAAAGAGATACCAGAAGGACCAGAGACAGACCAGAGAGAGACCAGAGAGAGACCAGAGGGAGAGACCAGAAGGACCAGAGAGAGAAAACAGAGAGACACCAGAAAGAGATACCAGAGATCGGTTCAGAGGCCACGGTTCGGTTCATTTTTCCCAAAAAATTGTTTTGTCTTTTTAATAAACACGGCTCATGTGGACTCCGCAGCTGCAGAGGATCAGAGAGGGTCTGGTGCTCTGTGTACTGGGTGCAGCTCTGACGGTTTTTACCCTCACACATTAAACCACCTGATTCTCCCGAGGAGGCGCTCCATTCTGGGCCCAGCCTCAATCACTGCATTTATCTAATTTTTGGCATTATCAGTTGTGACTGGGATATTGGTACTGGGCCTTTGTCTTCCATTCCTCCGCTGCTGTGTCAGTACCTGAGCTGTAGGAAGGTTATTTTGTGTTTTTATTATCAACACTTTTTTTTGCTTTTGAATTCTATAAACTGTAACAAAAAAGTATTCAGCGTAAATAAATTCAATGTTTTAGAATTCAATGTCCAAAAATTCAATGTTTTAGAATTCAGTGTCCAAAAATTTGTTGCATTTTTTTTCGCTGCTTGAAATGTCATGCTTTATTTCTGTGTAAATCGAGACAGAAGCAATCGATCAGCCAATCCTCCATAGATGTAGCCAGGGCTAGAACACGACTTTGTCCTGTTCATCTGAACATGGCGTCCACAGCAAACCAGTAAGTGTGTTTTCTCATCATTAGTTGGTATGTAACACGCAAACCACTACTGTATGTACTTTCTGAACATGTTTTTACCTTAGCTTATCATTAGCTAGCTCCGCGTAGGTGGCTTCTACGTTTTGGCAATTCCTCAAAGCTAATCTTCGCTAATTCTAAGCTAAAATTCAACACAGGAAAGCCAAGTACATGGGGTTTGCGGTTCTCGTGTGACGTATGTACTATGTTCCAAATTTCAATGTGTATATTATTCTAGCAGTGCAGCAAGGACGAAACCTGCTGTTTTAGAGACAGAGCATGCTAAGGGGTTGTTGTTAATTATGTTGTTCATTTTTATGTATCTAGACCTCCGATAATTATTCTATCTTTACTCTTAAATTTTGACATCTTAGTGAAACCAAGATGGAATGAAGGATCGTTCTTTAGGGAGAAAACAAACCCATGGATTCAATATTAATGCTACAGAGAGGAATCAGACTGATAGATATGGTTTTAATTGAGTATATTTGTAAATCCCACTCTACCAGCCTCCTGTTAAAGACTGGACATGTATTTACATTTACTGTTGACATGTTAAGTTCATGTGTGTGTTTGTAAAGGCATCGTACTTCTGCTCCTCCTCAGAGCGTCTGTTCTACTCTTCTACTGTGTATTTATATTAATTAATTTGACTGGGACAGTACATGTATATGAACATATATGTCGACATGTCTGATTGTAACAAAAGGCTCATTTTAATCCCAGAAGAACCGGGTCTGTTTAAATTAATGATTTTTTTGTGTGAATTTCTTTTCCAGAGGCAGCTGTCTTCCAGAGGAAGATCATTTCTTCATCCATTTCATCACCTCCAGCTTCTGTGGATTACGATATAAACTACAACGACCAATATGTTCATTTGTTTTATTAATTACAAGTCATGGATAGTTAGAACACAACTCTCATTTTCTGAAGACATGCAGCAGTAACAACAGCAGCAGCAGTAACAGTAACAGCAGCAGCAGTAACAGCAGCAGCAGCAGCAGGTGCCTGGACGTCTGCCTCTGACTGTCTTTTCTACGGTGGACTCATCACAACCTGGAATAAAATAAAATAATTATGATTTAGTTCTTTGTGTGCAATGAAAAGAGATGTATGCGTTTTTTTAACCAACCACACGATCAGTGAGAAACATGTTTCATAGTTTGTATTTAAGTACTTCTAATCTTAAAAACATTTAAGCCTCTAACTCTGACATGATCAGGTCTGTTGGATTCCAAGAGGAGCTTGTGCTCAAAAAGTAAGTACTCATGACCTTAAATCTGGTCTGTTCAAGTCCACGCGTCTTCTGTGTCCAGCTTCATGTTCACAGATGTCCCCCTGTCATCAGTAAATGCACATAAACACGTTTGTACTTAATACAAATTACTTTACAACAAAGTGATGCACAAACGAGGGCCATAGCAAATCCATCAATCCTAAACACATGCATTATTTACATGAAATATCACATTTTTAAGACTAATGATTACTCTTAAAACAATTGTTATAACAGAGAAAGTATGATACAAAAGCCGCCTTTTTGAGTTTTCATAATTACTTCCACAGTTAAGACTGTTAGCATAAGGGAGCTCTCAAAATGACTCCCAGGGCATGACGCTCCATTCTGGGCATCAGCGCAGCTCTACACCCGTGGTTAGCGTGTTAGCACCGGAGCTCAAGGCTGGAGAAAAAGTCAAAAGAAAATCTGTTTAATCACCAAACAGACCTCTGATATAACAATAGAGGGGGCTTTTTCCCACCTCCAATGTTAATAAGATTAAATGTTATGTCCTAATTAAAACGTAAATTCAACATTTACCTTTACCTCATCATGGCCGCTCCTCTCTCCGCTCCGTGATCCACGCTACAGCGGGACGCTCACGTACAACAGCACGGCCTGATAATAGTGCAGCGTCCGAATCGCCATCAGAATGAGTCCACTCAGTCACTCACTCACTATAGTCCCACACGGTATAGTGCGGACATTCGGATAAAGCCAAAGTCGTGTTCTGGCCCTGGCTACATCTGTGGAGGATTGGCTGATCAATTGCTTTGTTCTTGATTTACCCGGAAATAAAGCATGAAATTTCAAGCAGCGAAAAAAAATGCAACGAATTTTTGGACACTGAATTTTTTTCAACATTGAATTTTTGGACACTGAATTTTAAAACATTGAATATTTTGACACTGAATTTTAAAACATTGAATATTTTGACAATGAATCTTAAAACATTGAATTTATTTACACTGAATACTTTTTTGTTACAGTTTATAGAATTCAAAAGCAAAAAAAAGTGTTGATAATAAAAACACAAAATAACCTTCATAGGCGTGTCTGCAGCGCCGGACTCATGTCCCAGTCTGCGGTGATGAAGTGAGACGCTATCGTAACATAGCTCTCCATTCCGCTCATGGATCTATTATAGGTTCCGCGGGACGTCCAAGCGTCAGTCGTGAGCGCAGCTGAGGATGCGCGGGAGAGTTGACTTTAGCCTGGTCTGACTGTGCATGAATGATTTGCCTAGAAAATACGTTTTCTAGGCAAATCAAACCGCGGATCACGTCTGTACCGAACCGAAGACGTTGATCCAAACGGATCACGGATCAGTGATGAACCGTTGAGGTGCAACGGTTCATCACTGATCCGTTGAGAGAGAGACCGAAAAGAGACTTGAAGGATTAGGGATAAACTATGTTCTAAAGATAAATGTCTGAAATCATTTGTAGTTCTGACCTGCAGCTCCATCTGTCGCACCAGGAAAGCGTCGATGAACCCTCGGGGCTCCGCCTGGTTGATGGTCTCCTTCAGGTCTCGGATCAGGCCTCGGTTCTCCTGCTTGAAGAACTCCAGGATGTCGATGAGCTTCTGTCGGTCTTTGATCCAGCGTTTGGTCCAAGGAAACATGTTGTACAACTGGAAAGAACCAGGAGTCAGTGCTCACACAGGAGTCAGGAGGAGACTATAAAACTGCAACAACGAGCCGTGGAGCTGTGTTTGGGTGAGTGAAGCTGCTCTGTCATTTAGAGAATTGTCCTTGTGAGAAATATGTTGGAAAGTCTATGTGGTCTGTCTCTCTCTCTCTGGACCTTCTTGACTCTCTCTGATCTCCCTCTCTAGTCGTCTCTCTCCTGTCTCTCATTCTGGTCTCTCTCACTCTGGTTTCCCTTTCTGTTCTCTTATTCCCATCTCTCTCCTGTCTCTCATTCTGGTCTCTCTCTCTCTCGCTCTCTCTCTCGCTCTCTCTCTCTCTCTCTCCTGCTCTCTCTCTCTCTCGCCCTCTCTCTCTCTCGCTCTCTCTCTCGCTCTCTCTCTCTCTCTCTCCTGCTCTCTCTCTCTCTGGCTCTCTCTCTCTCTCGCTCTCTCTCTGGTGTCTCTGTGGTCCTTCTTGGCCCTCTCTGATCTCCCTCTCTAGTTGTCTCTCTCCTGTCTCTCATTCTGGTCTCTCTCACCATGACCGTAGGAGACCCTCCCAGCCGGATGCGTGTGTTGATGCGGTCCACCAGAGCAGTGAACTGAGGATCCTGGTACTGGAACCTGGTCCCATACACCATCGAGAAGATTATGTTCGAGACGGCATAGTTCAAAGGCTTCATGGTGGAGAAGGGCCTTCCTGCATCACAACACACCTGGTCCTGCATCACAACACACCTGGTCCTGCATCACAACACACCTGGTCCTGCATCTCAACACACCTGGTCCTGCATCTCAACACACCTGGTCCTGCATCACAACACACCTGGTCATACATCTCAACACACCTGGTCCTGCATCACAACACACCTGGTCCTTTATCACAACACACCTGGTCCTGCATCTCAACACACCTGGTCCTTTATCACAACACACCTGGTCCTGCATCTCAACACACCTGGTCCTGCATCTCAACACACCTGGTCCTGCATCACAGCACACCTGGTCCTGCACAGGGCCTTATGTGGTCTTAAATCCAGAGCCCAGGGTCTTCTTTGTGGTCTTTACCCAGAGCACAGGGCCTTCTCTGTGGTCTTTACCCAGAGCACAGGGCCTTCTCTGTGGTCTTAAACCCAGAGTCCAGAACCTTCTCTGTGGTCTTAAACCCAGAGTCCAGAATCTTCTCTGTGGTCTTAAACCCAGAGTCCAGAACCTTCTCTGTGGTCCTCACCTTTGAGATCCTTCAGCACCCTCACCAGATGTCCACACTCCTCTGAGATCTTGTTCTCGCAGACCTTTCTCCCCATCCCAAAGTCTCGCAGCGTTGCTAGAGCAAAACGTCGCATCTCCTTCCACGTGTGGCCGTTAGCCCAGGCCAGACCTGAGAGAGCGCTGTGTTAGAGCTGTTTAAAGCTGGGGCACGTAAGTTTATAACCACAGCAATAGTACTCTGTAATCTAATCCATGGCACTAGTTCCTGGCTCCAGAGAGAGAGACCAGAGAGAGACCAGAGAGAGACCAGAGAGAGACCAGAGAGAGAGACCAGAGAGAGAGACCAGAGAGAGATTAGAGAGAGACCAGAGGGAGACCAGAGGGAGACCAGAGAGAGACCAGAAAGAGACCCTCAAGAGACCAGAGAGATACCAGAGAGAGACCAGAGGGAGACCAGAGAGATACCAGAGAGAGACCTGTGAGATACCAGAGAGAGACCAGAGAGAGATTAGAGAGAGACCCTCAAGAGACCAGAGAGATACCAGAGAGAGACCAGAGGGAGACCAGAGAGATACCAGAGAGAGACCAGAGAGAGACCAGAGAGAGACCAGAGAGAGACTAGAGAGAGACCAGAAAGAGACCCTCAAGAGACCAGAGAGATACCAGAGAGAGACCAGAGGGAGACTAGAGAGAGACCAGAGAGATACCAGAGAGAGACCAGAGGGAGACCAGAGAGAGACTAGAGAGAGACCAGATGGAGACCAGAGAGAGACCAGAGAGAGACCAGAGAGAGACCAGAGAGAGACCTGAGATGCACATGTTTGTACCGTGTCCGTTGAACATCTCGTCGCTAATGTGTGTGGAGGCTCTCTCTCCAAACTCCTCGGCTCTGCTCACCAGCGCCTCCTTCACCGTCTGGTATCCACATAGTACTACAACCCTCTCTGGTCCCATGAAGACAGAGAGAACCGAGCCATACTGCCGAGACAGCTGCAGGGACGGACAGGGTTAAAGAGAGAGACCAGAGAGAGACCAGAGGGAGACCAGAGAGTGACCAGAGAGTGACCAGAAAGAGACCAGAGAGAGAGACCACAGAGAGACCAGAGAGACCTGAGAGAGACCAGAGAGTGACCAGAAAGAGACCAGAGAGAGACCAGAGGAAGAGAGACCAGAGAGACCAGAAAGAGACCAGAGAGAGACCAGAGGCAGAGAGACCAGAGAGACCAGAGAGAGACCAGAGAGAGACTTGAGAGAGACCAGAGAGAGTTCAGAGAGAAAGACCAGAGAGAGACCAGAGAGACCCCAGAGAGAGAGACCAGAGAGAGACCAGAGAGAGACCAGAGAGAGACCAGAGGAAGAGACCAGAGGAAGAGACCAGAGGAAGAGACCAGAGGAAGAGACCAGAGGAAAAGACCAGAGGAAAAGACCAGAGAGAGACCAGAGACCAAAGGAAGAGACGATAGAGAGACCAGCGAGAGAGACAAATAAGTTTTCTACCTTCCAGAGACACAGGTGGAGGTTCTTTAGGTCCAGCTGGAACAGGTTTCCCAGTCCGCGCAGAGGCCTGGGTCCTGGGGGTCCATGGTACCTCTTCCAGGGAGAGACCAGCAAGAGCCACACCAGCAGAAACAGAGCTACCAGGAGCCTGAAGGTAGTGCTACAGAGCAAGGAGCCCAGGCCACACAGCACGTCCATGGACTCAGGTGAGTGAGAGGTGGACTGAGGTGACCCAGAGATAAGAGACTGACCAGGGGAGGGACCAGCGGCGGGACCAGCGGAGGGACCAGCGGAGGGACGAGAGGAGAGACCAGAGAGAGACTAGAGAAAGGACTAAAGAGAGACTAAAGCAGGACTAAAGCAGGTCTAAAGCAGGTCTAAAGCCGGACTAAAGCAGGTCTAAAGCCGGACTAAAGCCGGACTAAAGCAGGTCTAAAGCAGGTCTAAAGCAGGACTAAAGCAGGTCTAAAGCAGGTCTAAAGCAGGTCTACGCAGGACTAAAGCAGGTCTAAAGCAGGTGTAAAGCAGGACTAAAGCAGGTCTAGGGCAGGTCTAAAGCAGGACTAAAGCAGGACTAAAGCAGGTCTAAAGCAGGTCTAAAGCAGGACTAAAGCAGGTCTAAAGCAGGTCTAAAGCAGGTCTAAAGCAGGACTAAAGCAGGACTAAAGCAGGTCTAAAGCAGGTCTAAAGCAGGTCTAAAGCAGTGGATCCTTCAGCGGCTGAGACAGACTTTTTGTTGTAACTGTAGAAAAACCAAACACACGTCACTTTTTTACTATTTTCAAAACACAGCAGAGTATTTTGAGACTTTTGTTGTAAACGTTTTGAAAAGTCCACTTTCTGTCGTTTTAACAGGAAAATACATGAATCACAATATACTCTCTGTATTATATTACAGACGACCAGCAGAGGGCGACACTGGATAGGCGTCACCTACAGAGCAGGTCTATAAAGCAGGACAGGTCTAAAGCAGGACTAAAACAGGACTAACGCAGGACTAAAGCAGGACTAAAGCAGATCTAAAGCAGGTCTAAAGCAGGACTAAAGCAGGACTAAAGCAGGTCTAAAGCAGGACTAAAGCAGGTCTAAAGCAGGACTAAAGCAGGTCTAAAGCAGGTCTAAAGCAGGACTAAAGCAGGTCTAAAGCAGGTCTAAAGCAGGACTAAAGCAGGTCTAAAGCAGGTCTAAAGCAGGACTAAAGCAAGTCTAAAGCAGGTCTAAAGCAGGTCTAAAGCAGGACTAAAGCAGGTCTAAAGCAGATCTAAAGCAGGACTAAAACAGATCTAAAGGTTAGACTGCTGTAAATCAGGTCAGAGTGACTTCCTGATCAAACATTAGTAGCAGTGAATGTTTCCTTCAGCGACTGAGAGCAGTCTAAAGCAGGACTAAAGCAGGTCTAACCCAGACTAAAACAGGACTAAACCAGGACTAACCTCGGACTGAACCAGGATCAAACCAGTGAAGAAGATGAAAAAGTCTGGGATTGTGTCTTTACCTCAGACAGAAGACATGTTTTATTGTCGATGGTAGAGACAGCACTAACAAGGATGTTACAAAAGTGATAATATACAGCGGAGGAATGAACACCGTCCAATCAGCTGTCGCCGCGATGCAGGAGCTTGGCCTTCAGAAAACAAAAACATGCTGTGGAAAAATACTGGCTTGTGCATATTGTTATAAGAATGAGTTAGAACTTAGTTGCTTCAAAATGTTATAAAATCTCTAAAATTGGACAAAAACAGGACTAAACAGGACTAACCCAGGTCCAGGTCTTGAGATCCTGAGGCCTCAGATTTACTGTCGTGTCAGTGTGAGCGCTGGAGCGAGCAGAAAAGATAATGGAGAAAAGAACATTATTAACCTCTGTCAGTCACAGCCCACTAGACCAGGACTAAAGCAGGTCTAAAGCAGGACTAAACCAAGACTAAAGCAGGACTAAAGCAGGACTAAACCCAGTCAAAGACAGCACCCAAACAAGACTGAATTGTGATGTTATTCTGTTTATTCTGCATAGATCAAAAATCACATTTACATTCTGTTCAGATGATTGAAACGCAGACATTCAGAAAGCTGTGGTGTTGAGGCTGCAGTAGGAACCAGGGCCGGTCCAGAGACCAGAGACCAGAGCAGAGACCAGAGACCAGACCAGAGACCAGAGACCAGGCAGAAACCATTGCATTTAAAGCTGGGCTACTTTCATGAACCTTTTCTTCCATAATTTATTGTATTTGTCCAAACAGAAATAATCCTGTAAATATGCTGTTTTCATTTTATTAGACAACAGAGAGAAACCAGAGGGAGGTCAGAGAGAGAGAGAGCAGAGAGAGAGAGTGAAGAGAGAGAGACCAGAGAGAGACCAGAGAGAGACCAGAGAGAGAGCAGAGAGAGAGACCAGAGAGAGACCAGAGAGAGACCAGAGAGAGAGAGTGAAGAGAGACCAGAGAGAGAGACCAGAGAGAGAGCAGAAAGACCAGAGAGAGACCAGAGAGAGAGCAGAAAAACCAGAGAGAGAGCAGAGAGAGAGCAGAAAAACCAGAGAGAGAGCAGAGAGAGAAACCAGAGAGAGGCCCCTTAAAAAACATTTTGCCTCGGCGCCCCTGAAAACTTGGAGCAGCCCTGGTGTGAGGTTAGCTTGGCGTCGCTATGTCATAAAATAAAACAAACTATTAAAATAAGTGCATATGTTGAGTGTTGCATTAGTACAAAATACAAATCAGGATTAGCAGCATTAGCATTAGCATTTACAGCAAACAAAATGGCACCGTTTTGATCTTTGGGAGAGAGAAGACATTGGGTTGTGTTCATTCCTGCTTCCCCTCTGTTTATGTGAATAACACAGAAGGAGACTGTTTGTTGAGGTGAAAGTTGAAAATGTTACTTCAGCACTGTTTTTGCTATTTTTTTTTTATCAATATATTTTTTCAGGCTCTGCCATTTACATTTGCGTCCGGGAAAAAATCTACAAATCACACTTTCACAAATCCATTGGGGTAAAATATCCCTCCCAGAGAACTGTGTGTGTCTGTGACGGTCGGCAAGTGTGTTGGAAAATTAAAGCTTCTCCCATAATGCACCGGAGGGCGCAAGAGCAACAGAACAAAAACATGTTAAATATGTCCTTAAAGCTTTTGCTGGAGACTTGTAACGTAATGACTTATTCATATGGTGGCATGGTAGCAGAGTGGTTAGCACTTTGTTAAGCAAGAAGGTCCACCTCCGAGGCTTTCTGTGTAGTTTGCATGTAGCTGAGCAAAACAGATGCACGGAATTCTCTTTTGGGGAAATATTGACATAATATTACAGGTACTCATCAGTATAGAACCACAGAGGCGGAGCTTAAAAATGGCTTCTCCTTGAGTTCTGAAGTCCATTCAGCGTCTGTAGATTTGACATGTTTGTGCGATCATAGGCATCAGCGGCTGGAGTTTCACATTCACCAACAGAAGCATTCACGCTGTTGACATTTTCCACAGAAATGTTACGAAGTTGCCAAATGGAGGTGTATATTCAGACAGCGTTTAATGTTGCTCTGAAATTGTTCACTGTGGTTTTGCCAAGCTCTGGATCCAAGATGGCCGCCCATTCAAGTCGTCAGCCTGTGCTCGTTAGCATATGCTTGCACTCGCTGCTAGCTACAAAAACGAGTCCAGAACGAGCATTTTAGCTAAACCCGGGTCTAATATACAGTAGAGCAAAATACCCTTATATGGGCCTTTGTTCTTACAGGACAGACGTGTTGCTAAGACAGTTGCTAAGGCAAGCTGGAGTTTCCCCCACGAAGGAAGGCATCTGATTGGTCAATCCTTATATGGCTCAGATCCGGATTTAACCAAAATGGTGAGTGTGACACATTACTGAGCTAGAGGAGTTTATTCAGTCCCATAGAGAGGGTTTTTGCGTCTCACATGTACTCTCTCCACCTCTTTCTCCACCTCCTCTCACACCCCTTGCCGAATGCAGGTATAGAACCACAGGATAGTAGCTGACCACCTGCGATTTTGAGACTTGTAAAAAACAAGTCGGACACAGAGCGTGATATAGTTCGATTAAAATAGCTTCCCTTTGAGTTCTTAAGTCCATTCAACAGACATTGTTTGTATGTTCATAGGCATCAGCGGCTGGAGTTGTTCATTCACAAACAGAAGCATTTGTGCTGTTTCACGGGTTCACTGTAGTTTTTCAAAAAGCTCCGGATCCAAGATGGCCGCCCATTCAAGTCGTCACCTTTTGCTCCCTCAGACCGTAGCTCTCTTTCACCTCCTCTCACACATACTCTCTCAGACTGTAGCTCTCCTCACACATACTCTCTCAGACTGTAGCTCTCCTTTGCCTCCTCGTCCCGCACCTCCTGCCGGATGCGCACCACTTTCCCTGCGTCCGTCTGTATCCTGCGGTGCACCACCTCTGGCCTCTGGGACGCCCCTCTCACCGGGCAGGACAGGCAGAAGATGACGCCCGCCGCCAGCAGAAACCCGGCCGACACGAAGCTCAGACACAGCGCTCCTCCTGGTTGGTAGCGGCTGCTCTCTGGCACCTCCGCGCTCAGGTACGCCGCGATAATCTCCTCCGTGAACCAGGAGGCGGGCGCCAGGCACAGGGCGGAGGCCAGGACGAAGCAGGCGCCCGCGGAGATGGCGGTGTAGGCCTTGGCTCTCCGGTCTCCGCCCCACTGCGTGCACTTGAGTCCGAGCGAGGCCAGACACAGGCCCAGGGCGGACACCAGGGCGCACAGGACCATGGAGATGCGCGTCATCTGCAGGTGCGGCGGCAGGCTCAGCACGCTGGTCTTCACTGTACAGCTGAAAACCCCAGAGCTGAAGAAGTTACAGTCCATCCACAGGCCCTGGTCAGCAGAGGGAGAGGAAGCAACATTAGATCAGATTTATTTATTTATGTTTTTATGGAAGATGTATTTTTGCTGCTGGACACTTGAATTTCTCCTACAAGGATCAATTAAGTACCTCCCTATCTATCTGTCTATCTATCTACTGACCTACCTACCTGCACTAGGATCACAGAGAGCACTAAACCACAGATTTAAGCCCAAAGTGGTGAGCGTGACACATCGCTTACTGAGCTAGAGGAGTTTACTTTTACATGGAAGTCAATTGGAGCCAGAGAGAGGAGCCAAACTTCACCTTGAGCACTTCCTGATTGAGCGTCATTGAGCCAGCGGGTTGTCCATCTGTATACAGGACTATTTAATTGAGTTTGGGGGCGGGACTCATGAGCTTCTTTTTCACCCCACCCCTCATGAGTAGAATTAATAGAGTTCAAATTATAATGCTGTGGTTGCAGTAACGCCGAGTGTCCAGCAGGGGGGGCGGTGCTCTTGAGCTTCAGGCTGTGTACCTCAAACATAAACCGGAAATCCTTGAGGAGGGACGTTTCCTGGTCTTATTCTTGTATATATCCACTTTTCAGGTACAGTATCAGTGTATAATGTTAAAATCAGCTGTGTTTGTGTTGTAAAAGCCGTATGTATCTGTGAAATGGTTTGTTTGTTGTAGGAGCTCCGCTAGCTGCTAACCACATTAGCATTAGCTTCTCGTCGTGGTTAGCGCGGGAACACAGCACAAGAGAAAACACTTGGTAAAGGGTAAAAATGTTGTATTTCTCGAGCTACAACATGGGAAGAAGGAGCTGAATCTTTATGCGTTATAGCATTAAAATAAATCAAGATCTATAAAAACTGGTGTCAGTGTAATGTAAAGTGACTTGATCTGAGGTGATCGTAAACAAATGGACAGACGGTGTTCATGGTGCAGTTTGGCTCTCTGGGTGTGTTCACAGTAAAGTGTCAATTAAAGTATCTGGACTTTAAAAGGTTATAACAAAAAACTAAATATGGCTATAATAGATAAGAAAAATGGAAGATCTGAAGATTTCAAACACAGTCAAAGAGATATCATGGATACAATCAAAAGTAAAGATTGACAACTACATTTTTGGTGAATAGACCAGATCAGCCTCTGATTTGTTCATTTTACTGTGACGCCAGTTACACAGAAATTAAAATGTCCTCAGTGACAAAGATGAACTCCAGAGATTAACATTAACACAACAAATAAAGGATCTCTGAATTCACTGTATATAAAAAGGAATCATTTAAAATAAAAAATAATTGGATGCGGTAATTTTCTTCAAAAAGATTAAACTTAAAAAAAGAACAGAGTTTACGGTTAATGTTATGGTTTACTCACTTTAAGATCTAATTATATATTTTACATTACTTTTAGCTCTTAAAAGTGTTCTTCACATGCTGCAGTATTAATAAAGTTGTGAACCATCTGAGAGACTCTGAGAGACCGGCTGAACCAGGGATGCTACACTAATCTTGTCAAAACAAATGCCTGTGTAAGGAAATTGCATCCAGCTTATGTTTAAATCTACTTCTCCTGCATCAAGACTGACACTGTGGTGACGTCACACTCCTGAGTCTGGTGTGGTTTATTTGCCCTCTGGTGGCTCAGTCCTGTCACTACAAGTATAATTGGTGCCTGTGTTTTGGGTGAGGTGCTACATAAATAAACCTCTTCCCTTCTTCACCTGCATGTGGGAGATGGGCGTCATGAGGCTGGTCCACCCCGTCGACGACACCTTCCAATTGGGGAGCACGGTCGCCACAGTAACCCCCACCAATCCGACCACGGCGAGCACAAAGGCCAGGATCTGCACCGCGGCCGAGAGCATGGGGGCGGGGCTACGAGCTGCCAACCAATCAGAGAGTATGGTGCATGGGGGCGGGGCTACGAGCTGCCAACCAATCAGAGAGCCCCGCGCATGGAGGTGACGTTACGAGCTGCCAATCAGAGAACAGAATGAGTAAACTGGAAAGTGAAACCAAAGACAACATCCTCTCCCTCTACTGGTAGAGGTGTGGAATTACAAGGTGAGTATATTTTTGTTACCACTTATACATGTCTTTAGTTCCTAGCTCTAACACTTTTGGCCTGAGTCTGATCTTGGTCTGGTTTCCCCGGTCTAAAACATGTTGCTTCTATCACTTGTGGTCTAGGTCTGGTCTGATCTTGGTCCTGGTCTTGGTCCTGGTCTTCCTGCTCTTCTGTCACTAGTCTGATGTATTTCTGCCTCTGTCACATGAAAAACTCCTGTTTATAAGAGATCGGAAAAGCAAAACTTTATTTTTATTCTATTATATATATATTATATCGTTATTTAACCTCAGTCTCGGCCTAAGTCTCGATGAGAGTTTCAGTCTCGGCGAGAGTACAGTCTCTGTCAGGGCAGTGGACTAGAGAGAGTTAGTAATATATTAAACATATAAATAATCAAATAGCAAAATGTAATGATGATAAATGTATAATCCAGGGATGTCCAAACTTTTTAGTAAGAGGGCCGACTGAAACTGAAACTGACATCGGACTGTTCTGAGCTTTATGATGATCTATAAAAGAGCTGAAGTTGACTGAATGACAAAGGTTTACCATCTCATACAGTTTATGCAAATAAAGTCAACAACATGAAAACAGGAGGAGTGAGTGCTACAGGGTCCAAAGACGTAATTAAAATCAGGTGCTCTTCAGGAATAACATAGAAAAAACAACGACACCCTTTTCGATGGAAAAATAAAGACGGTGCAATCCGAGGCACTCTGATAAAAGTCCTTTAATAGAGAAGGGCTTTAAAGGACTTTTATCAGAGTGCCTCGGATTTCACCCTGTCTTTATTTTTACATCGAAAAGGGTATCTTTGTTTTTCAAAGTCAACAACTCAAGGTCTTTATTGGCTGAGCTGAAGTTGGATGGATGACACAGTGAACTTGTGTTTATGATCTCAAAGACTACTTTGGGTTGGCGAGTCAGAGGCCCACATGCAATCACAATGAGGGCCGCAGAGTTTGGACATGCCCGGGATAATCGCAAAAGACAATACAAAAAATGAAAAGACATAAAAATACATTTATAACATTTATTTTACTAAATAGAAATCAATGTTGTATCAATCAAAGACATTCAAATAGAATATTGAACATGTGTTTCTGTGTTCCACTGTAGCAGGGACAGGTGAGAAGTGTCTGAGACGTTTCAGGTCCATGTTTGAACTGATTCTCTGATCTGTGATGGCCAATCGACAACTGAAACTACTGCTGTGATTTAATTAAATTCAATGTATTTGAGTTTAAAAACAGCTCGAAACGTCTCTGACTTTAACAAAAGATCAATATTCTACATCAAAATAAAAAGAAAATGTGAAAAAAGCTGAAATATTTAAAATAATGTATTAAAAAATTTAAATATATGTAAAAAATCTGCCAAAAAACTGTTATTTGAAGCATTATAAAAAATAAAATAATCTTTTTAAACCCTTTGTTTACGACAACAATAAATTCAGCAGAAACAGAATAAACAGATGAAAGTCTAAATGATAAATACTAAATAGATTCACCTCAAAATTAATGTTTTTTCAAATCTATAAAAACATGAAATCAGTCCCTGTAAAGCCCGAGAGTCCCACATATCGCACAAAAACTGTAAAAACACAAGAAAATCTGCCAAAATAGTGTTTTTTTTAGTGTAATGATTAAAAACCTGCTCTCACCGCGTGTCTCAGGGTCCGGTCTCGTCCCGGTCCAGGTGGGACCGGACCGTCCAGATCCAGCTCCGTCTTATTCCTGGGTTTGTTCATAATTGCGGCGTATTTCCATTGTGCTGAAGGTCAGTGACGGCGCCGCAGTCTTATCTGATGCAAACGTTTGGAAAAAATAACAAAAATAGGAACAAAAACCACCGACAGAATCTGAGGTTTGACAGAAATTTGTTTTTGGGGAAAAAAATTATAATTTTTGAAGAAAGAAAAAATCTGCGACTGAAATGACGAGAGCAGAGCGGCACTGCAGAGGCTTCAGTCGACCGCGGAGACTATTCAGAGACCTGGGTTAGACCTGCTTTAGACCTGATTTAGTCCTGCTTTAGACCTGCTTTAGTCCTGCTTTAGACCTGCTTTAGTCCTGCTTTAGACCTGCTTTAGTCCTTCTATAGACCTGTTTTAGACCTGATTTAGTCCTGATTTAGTCCTGCTTTAGTCCTGCTTTAGTCCTGCTTTAGACCTGTTTTAGACCTGCTTTAGACCTGATTTAGTCCTGATTTAGACCTGTTTTAGACTTGATTTAGTTCTGCTTTAGACCTGCTTTAGACCTGCTTTAGACCTGTTTTAGACCTGCTTTAGACCTGATTTAGTCCTGATTTAGACCTGTTTTAGACTTGATTTAGTTCTGCTTTAGACCTGCTTTATATCTGCTTTAGACCTGCTTTAGACCTGCTTTGAATCTGCTTTAGACCTGGTTCAGTCCTGCTTTAGACCTGCTTTTGACCTGATTTAGACCAGTTTTAGTCCTGCTTCAGTTCAGTCCTTCTTCAAGAGACACCCATAAAATATTCCATCTCTGTTGAATAAATTATAATTTAGCTTTTGGGATTTTCTGGTTTTGCTGCAGAAAAATTCTAAATAAAAAAATAGATCCTCAGTGAAAACAGGAGCCAAGAAAGACGAGATAATCCACTACGTCGTCTGCTCCTGCAAAGAAGAAGAAACCAGTTAAGAAATCTGCAATTTATGAACAAAAATAGAGATTAAAGCAGATTCAAATACGGAAAGACTCACCAAAGAGAAACAACCATTCATAAAAACAGTTTAAGGCCTTCACAAAGACTCTCTGGTCTCTCTCTGGTCTCTCTCTGGTCTCTCTCCGGTCTCTCTCTCTGGTCTCTCTCTGGTCTCTCTCTGGTCTCTCTCTGGTCTCTCTCTGGTCTCTCTCTGGTCTCTCTCTGGTCTCTCTCTGGTCTCTCGCTGGTCTCTCTCTGGTCTCTCTCTGGTCTCTCTCTCTGGTCTCTCTCTGGTCTCTCTCTGGTCTCTCTCTGGTCTCTTTTTAGGATTTCTCTCTGTAGGTCCCTCTCTCTGGTCTCTCTGGTCAGGCCCTTCACAAGTGTTTTCTGATTGGTTGAAATTGAAAATAAAATTAAGCCAATATATTGTGCTGCAAATTTCCTAGTGCTCTGCTGCACTGGTCCTGATGCTGCCTCTGTGTGGTGTGTGTGGTTTTGTACTTGTACAGACAGAATGTGGGAGGCGGGGGGGCAGGCGGAGAAGGTGGAGACAAGAGAGGGGGGGGTTTAGCTATCAGGGAAAATCAGCTGTTTGCAGATGGGGGGGTTCAAATTATAGCCCAAAGGCAAAACGTTTCATCCAATTTAGAATACATGTTATCTTTTGTGCAAGAAAGCCTTAGGAGTCACTATTTGATTCTTTGGGCTGAAAGCTGATTGGTTGAGTGAGGGTGGTCCTCGCTTTGTCACTTTGCTCTCTGAGAAAGCTGATTTAAAGATGTAACCGAGACCAGAAATACATAAACAGTGATAAAATCAAACTGTTTTAGATCCAGGAACTAGAGACATGAGTTTAATACAGAGTTCTACTGTTGTGGTCTGAAAGTTACAGACCTCTGCCATCATCGGACTCATCACAGAGTTATACAGGACTTTGTGGACTGGTGTCTGCTGAACCACCTCCTCATCAACGCGGGGAAGACCAAGGAGATGGTGGTGGATTTCCGCAAACATCACTCTGCTGCTCCAGCTCCAGTGAACATCCAGGGAAAGGACATCGAGAGAGTGGACTCTTACAAGTACCTGGGTGTTCATCTGAACCACAAACTGGACTGGACTCATAACACAGACGCCCTCTTCAAGAAGGGCCAGAGCCGGCTCTACCTACTGAGGAGGCTCAGGTCTTTTGGAGTGCAGGGGCCACGCCTTTTATGACTGTGGTGGCATCAGCCTCTGGTACGGTGTGGTCTGCTGGAGCAGCAGCATCACAGAGAGGGACAGGAAGAAGCTGGAACATCAGGAAGTCCAGCTCAGTCCTGGGCTGTTCCCTGGACACAGTGCAGCAGGTGGGGGACAGGAGGGTCCTGGACAAACTAACATCTATGCTGGATCATGACTGTCGCCCCCTGCAGGACAGTCTGGCTGTTCTGGAGAGCAGCTTCAGTGACAGACTTATTCATCCTCGATGTGTGAAGGAGAGGCTCCACAGGTCTTTCCTTCCTGCTGCTGTCAGACTGTACAATGAGAACTGCTGTCGTTCATCGGTAAATAAGGGAAAATACTGCAATCATGTGCAATGTGCAGTACTGCAACTTCAGAATGAAGTGCTCTTTCTTCTGTCCTGTATATGCGCTGCAACACTGAAAATTCTCCATTGTGGCACAAATAAAGGATATCTCATCTTATCTAAAAGTTAGTCAAATCAATGTGGGTCCCAGGGCTGGTTCTGACGCAAAAGATATCATGTGACACAAAGCCAGAAAAGTGTGTGTGTGTGTGTTATAATCCACATGTGTTTCCAGGACAAACACTGTGATCTGTAAAATGGTTGTTTTGTGGATCAAACGTAGTCATAAACTATTATTATAGAGTCTGTGAGAGAAAACGCATGGGAACAGGTTTGGAATCAAATCTCTGATCATCTTCTGGTCTCACTCTGGTTTCTTTGGTCTCACTCTGATCTCTCTCTGGTCTCTCTCGCTGGTCTCTCACTGGTCTCTCGCTGGTCTCTCTCTGGTCTCTCGCTGGTCTCTCTCTGGTCTCACTCTGGTCTCTCACTCTGGTCTCTCTCTGGTCTCTCACTCTGGTCTCTTTCTCTGGTCTCTCTCTCTGGTATCACTCTGGTCT